ACCAGAGCCATTAGGTCCAATGATGGCTGTAAACCTCTGAAATGGTCCGATGATCTGTCTTCCCTTGTACGACTTAAAGTTCTCGATTTCAATAAGTTTCAGGAAACCCATGACAGCAACAATGGCGCCAGTAAGCAGTAGGAAGAGCCGCACCTAACACTCTGAAACTGGATAGTCCGCGAGGGAACACCGCAGTGCAGGCCGGGCAGATGGCAAACCTCGCGAGCTTGAGCCCAGGCATACGAGACTTCCGGATTCCTTTGCGAGCGGGAACAAGGGGCCGGGTCTATATCGGTTGTCAGGGCGCGCGCGGACCTTGGACAGACGTATGAGTTCCGCCCTCCCCTCTTGTCACCTTGGCAACACAATCACGGTTGTGATTGAACTTCTAGGTGTGGTGAACTACGTTGTGGTGAACTTCTAGGTCTCTTTGCTAAACTGGAACCCACAATTTCTAAAAGAAATCACAAGACACCGAGGAGCTGAGGGCAGGCGGGAGGATTCATTGCTAAGTGAGTTCGGACCTTATTGTTGTGGTGGGGTTGAAGGAGGGATGGGATATGAAGAGATCTGGAGGTACTCGGGACGACAAGGGCATCCATTTCGAAAGGGTATGCCCTCTCCACTTTCTCTCTCCATTCTTCTAAATAAAGGTTCAGAAATTGTCATTTGTTGGCTTCTTCATCCCAGAGCCAACCTGGGAGCTTAAAAGCCGGACTTGGTTGGTTATTAATTAATTAATTAATAAAATTCGTTAACTGTATTTATAAAATTTAATTAATTTTATTCATTTAATTTTTAATTTAATCTATAATCAGGAGATTGCATTTCCTCAGTCTTATTGTTGGTCACTTCCAACTTAAGGATCTTCCATCACTGTATCAGACAAGCATTCTGCTATTACTCCTAAGGCTTTCACTGATTTTTTTTTTTTTCAGTAGTCTCATCTGCCAAAAAGTATCATCCTTATTTTAGGGGGGGGAGGGGAAATCCAAGACTTTTCAAGTGATGGAAACAATGGGATTATGTTAAAATTACTTATCTACAAAATTAAGCATTTGGAATTTCAAATAGTGGATCTTTTATTAAAAAAAAATTCCGAAGAAGCCCATAATTTATATTACCATCAAGACTAAATGAAACTTAGTATCTCTTTCATATTATATTACTTTGCTTATATTTCTCCTAAAAAGACATTTGACATGAACTTTAAATTGATGTGTCTTTGTGATAAATATTCTAAGGTAATACTATTTATCATTTAAATTTGAGCTAGCTAAATGTATGTATTAAATGAATGAGTTAATAAATAAGCAATTAATAAAACAAAACTATTATTAAAAAATAAAATCACTCTGACCATGACATTTTGAAGCCCTTTTCAACCAATTTTTTTCTTATAATAAATACTGTGGGTTTTCAAATCTAATTTGATATGTAAAAAACAATTTTTACAAACTATTCTGAAAGTGGATGCCACTCCTGCTTCCAAGCCAAGCCTATTTTAATAGGGGAGCTCCACCAAACACTGTCCACCATGGGTAACCATTATGACATTTGACACATCAGCATCACAGTGTTTACATCAGTGTCACAGTGTTTACCCTCACAGCAACCACAAGTTGCCTTTGTACAGCAAATTGCTAGACCAATGTTATACTACTTAGGAGAAAGGACTTCTTGATAAGAAAGGTATTTTGTTCCCCCCCCACCCAGAGTCAAGATTCCTATCTAAGTCTTTTCCTTCCCTATCTCTCTTCATTATCTCCCCACCCAATTTCCCCTATTCTATCCTCTTCTGTCATCATCCCTATCTTTTCTCCTGCTCCCTTCCTTCCCCTTAATTCGGCCTCCTCCCATTCCCTCTGTTCTTTTCTATCTCCGTTCCCCATGTTTTCTATTCCTCCCCTGCAGTCCCTTCCTACCATCTCCACCTTTATAGTCCAAAAAGTTTAAAAATGTCTATTGAATCTTCATCTCTCAGATCTTAACCTCCCATTCCAGCGTTTTCTTCCTCCTTCTCTAAGACCTCAGATAATTCTTATCTCCTCAGAGCAGTAGCCTGAGTAGAAGAAGCCCTGGCCTGTCCCTTTATCGCCTATCCTTCTACATTGGCCACTAAAGGTGTTAATATAAATAAGTCATCCCTTCCTTCAAAAATGTTACAACCTTTCAACAGTTCCTCATAGAACAAAGCCTAGAGTCCTTAGTCTTTATTCAAGGACATTTTTTGTCTCTACTTTGATTGGAATTCGAGATACCTTTTGAGTTGGATTTTGGAAAATGACAAAAAGTTATATATTTTAGGTGGACAAAGATAGAGAAGGGAGGTCAAACATTTCTGCAGTCTAAGAAGAATCCTAAAGACAAGTCCAAGAAAGTGAGAAACCATTGTTGACAGGATTGAATAGAGGAGCCATAAATGAATTTTAAATTACAGAAACAGGTTCAACAAACAACAAATGCTGGCAAGATTGTGGAGAAACTGGAACCCTTATTCACTGTTGATTGTTGTTGTTGTTATGTGCCGTCGAGTCGAGTCGTTTCCGACTCATGGCGACCCTATGCACAACAGCTCTAAACCCTGCTCTATCCTACGCCAACCTCACCCGCTCTGACACACCCATCCCAATTACCCCAGTCACCAAATCAATCCATTTCATAGAGGGTCTTCCCATTCTGCACTGTCCCTCCACCCTCCCAAGCATGATGTCCCTCTCCAAGGACCCGTCCCTCCTGGCAACATGTCCAAAGTATGTCAGACAAAGCCCCAGAATCTTTGCCTCCAAGGAGTAGCTTGGTTTAACCCTCTCCAGGATGAATCTGTTTGTTTTCTTGGCAGTCCATGCTACTTTCAATACTC